TATATTAAGGATTCTGGTCGACCGCTCAATTACAAATCAAGTGTGATCACATGCCAAGATTCAAAAAAGCCAAACATGGAAATTATGAAACCATTTTTACCTTGACGTATATCGTTTGTTCCTCAGCAAGATTCCCATAGGTACCATGTTCCTCAGCAAGATTCCCATAGGTAGCATGTTCCTCAGCAAGATTCCCATAGGTACCATGTTCCTCAGCAAGATTCCCATACGTACCATGTTCCTCAGCAAGATTCCCATAGGTACCATGTTCCTCAGCAAGATTCCCATAGGTACCACGTCATCTCTCTGCCTTTCGCTCTTCTGAATGATAACGGGCAGTTCCGTTATCTCAGGAGAAAGAGTCAAAAAGAGCGAAAGGCAGCGTCGCACAACGTACGCACGCTGGTTTGTACGGGAACTTTTCTGGGGCACACAGGATACTTTCCTGTTTGAAAACCTAAAATTTAAAGTTGGATCACTTTCTTGCGCTACTTTTCGACTTCGTGATTGCAAACTGCCAATTTCAGAAGGTTTCTCCTTTCGCCAAAGGTGTCTTTGAAAGTCTATAAAACACATTTATCGCTTGTGAGAAGCATAGATCGGGTCGGGCCAACCTGTCAAGTCTCTCGCCAAATGTTGAAAGGAGGTGCGGGCATTTTGATTCTACAAGGCCTATACAAGCATCTGGCCGCACCGTGCCTTTTCCTGTAGCCAGGGAGGGGGGGATTCCCGTCAGACACGTCCCCGGAAAAAATTCTAAAGCTAATTTAAATTTTAAAAAATATGAACAAGTCACTTGCACAATTTTATAACCCGAGCAAATTTCAAAATTTCTCGACTTGGCTCTGCCTGCAGTCCACTACTCTTATATGTTCCACTTCCTTCATAAATCGCTTTTTTGACTTATCTGAATGACGATAACAATTTCGCCATTATTGGAACTGGATGAACGTCTTCACCTTTCCCTATAGATTTGTATTATCATTGTGACAACATCTTTCATTGTCCATGAAGAACCGTTTCAAGCGTTTACTGAAGCGGTGAATACAGTTACACATACTTGTTAAACTTCAAATATGAGTGCAGATTCAAGGACAAGCTTTTCCTTTATCTTTGTAAAACCCTAGCAATTCATTCCAAATCATTAATCATATCCACACAAATTCTATGATGAACAGTTTTATGATCAACACGAGAAGATACTTTAACGAAGTGTTTGCAGCCGATAATGATTGAACCCTGATAAATATGCAGAGGGTTGAATTGCTATGGACTTTACTGAAAAAAAAAGAAAGGGTATCAAACCATGGCTTTTAACAATTTTTCTGCAGTCTCTCTCTAAATGAAGAGCTGTATCTAAGAAACCAAAAAGTCTTCTTCGAATGGTATGCTCTTGTAGATGACAAAAATGCCAGAACAAGTTCCATCCTTTTTGAAAGCATGAGGTAACTTTCTTTATGCATGCAAAAGAAAGTGACTGCATACCTGTTGACCACCGCGGTCAAATTGGACATGGATTGTAGAATTCACGCTATGATATGCATACAAGTGAAAATGACTAGGTAGGTTGTCAAGAAACTATAATGTTGATTTTTATTTGTTATAGCACCGCAATCGGTAAATATTCCGCCAAGGCTGTCCCACGTAAAGTTGAAACCCAAAATCCAAAGAATTCTACCCAAAAAATTAGAAAAATTAGATCTACCTAAATTTCTTTGACGGACTTCACTCACACAGATCTATACTATGACATCAGACTAGACATTCGCTTCCGGTTTCTCTTTGACTAAAACTGAAGAACCAAAACATCTCATGTTCTTCTCCAAGCAACGTTAGGCCATTCCTACGTACGTAATTCTAGACAAAATGCCTTTGTAATTTTTGAGTGCGTCATATGCAAAGAAAAAGTTATAGAAGCACTTGCGAAGTTAATTAACAACCTAGTACAATCGGTGCTCTCAGAGCTTCAATTCGATAGTTGTTTTTTTATTTGATGTCAGAAGTGGTACGAAGTATTTGACTGATCGAAGAAGCTTGACCAAAACCCACACATTCACTTTTTTTACTGTCGCAAACAGTTGCGAATGCGAGATCCCACACAATTTAGAGCTGATCACGACTTTGAAAAGCATTATCAAATTTCATAAAAAAACGAAGCGAGTTGATAACTCAGTAGGTCGCTTTGCACCAAGCTTGAATAGCACGAATACGAAGGTCATTAAAAATACTCGAATAAAACATTGGAATAAGATTCATTCGAAACCCCATTCTTTATTATTTGAGTTTTCAAATTTTATTCCAGAACCCTTTCCTGATTATCCGAGTTTTCAAATTTATCCGAAATCCCGTTTCTTGATCACTCGAGTCTTTGAACTTTATTCCGAAATGGTAAACATTTTTCTAAGTTTCGGATTTGGAATGCAATATATTCGAATATTCGAATGATCGAGTTTTTATTTAATTTTGATCCAAGTGTATGGCACAGTATCGGGTTAGCACACACAATCTTTTATCTCTATATATATAAAGCAGAAAATCTGTGAGTTTGTTTGTACGCATTCGGGTGCAGATTGTGCAGGTTGTGCAGGGTGTGCAGGGTGTACAGGCTGTTCACGATGTGCAGAATGTGCAGGGTGTACAGGGTGTGCAGGATGTGCAGGTTGTGCAGGTTGTGCAGGGTGTGCAGGATATGTAGGTTGTGCAGGTTGTGCAGGTTGTGCAGGTTGTGCAGGGTGTGCAGGATATGTAGGTTGTGCAGGTTGTGCAGGGTGTGCAAGTTGTGCAGGTTGTGCAGGTTGTGCAGGTTGTGCAGGGTGTGCAGGATATGTAGGTTGTGCAGGTTGTGCAGGGTGTGCAAGTTGTGCAGGTTGTGCAGGTTGTGCAGGGTGTGCAGAGTGGGGATTGGGTAAGCGAAAATGCTGATTCGAATACGTTATTGACAGGACCGGGCGGAGCCGGGTTTGCCAGCTCGTATAATATAAGTTGAATGTCTGTCTGTCTGTACGTATGCGCAGAATAGAAATTTTTATTTCTAAACCGATTTGGACCAATTTTGGCACACATACAATTCGGGGAAGGGAGCTTGTCAAAGGCTACTTTTTATCGATCGATATCGATTTTACCGATTTTTATCGATTTTAAAGTTTGACCTATGAGGCTGGGAGTTGGCACAGGGGGGTAAGTGGTCATGGCGATCCGAATACAATGTTATTCTCAGAAAGTGATTACTTTTATCGATTTTATCGATTTTTTGAAAGTTTAAGCTACACTGGGAGTTGGCACAAGGGGGGGGGGGTAAGTGAGCATGGCGAATCCGAATACAATATTATTTTCAGAAATATCGATTACTCTTCTCATTTTATCGATTTCTATTGATTTTTTGCAGTTCACCTACGGGAATGGGAGTTGGCGCAGGGGGTAAGTGAGCACGGCGAATCTGAATACAATATTATTTTCAGAATTATCGATTACTTTTATCGATTTTATCGATTTTTTGAAAGTTTAAGCTACACTGGGAGATGGCACAAGGGAGGGAGGGGTATGTGAGCATGGCGAATCCTGATTTCTGCATCCCGATTCGAAAACAACACAGGGAACGGGAAATGAAGTGTAGAAGCGAGCACAGGAAAAGCTGTACAGGGATAGGGATGGGACCTTTATTATAGTGTTTTGACAGGGCCGAGCGAAGCCGGGTAAGCAAGCTAATATTTGCTATTTCACTAGTATTCCTTAGACAGATAGTCAGCGGCGAGATTTCGTGAGCATTGAGGAAACTCTGCTCAACTAAGGAACACATAACCAATTTTTGAAAGTTTTCGCATTTTATTGGCAACTTTTTAGGATTTAGTTTTCCAGAGTTTCTGCAAGCGTTCGAGTACTTCGTCATTGCATTGAAGCTCATTGAAGTGGTTAATCAGCTTGACTTTTTTCACGAAATTAGACACGTAATCATTTAATGGAATTGCAAGCTGGAGTCACTGAAATATTCTATGCGGTTATAGCCTTGAAATCATTACGAGAAGAGATGATTCTAAAAAAAATGACTTATGCTCCGTTTCAAAAAACTTGAATCAGATACATAGTGATTGACCTTTGTGATAATACAATCCAGATTACTTATTAAGTCACAGAAGTCTGGTTCAATATAATGTTGAGAATTTTCGGTCTCAAGTGTAAATGCTGCTTCCTAACTAACACTATGATTGCTTCTTCAATGCTAAGGAAAAGCATTACTTTGACAAGTGATAATAGCTGAATTTCCAATTACTTCTCTCGTTTTTTATCGGTGTTATCCTCAAACATGGCAGCTAATCCTGTATTGCTTGCCGCTGTAGCGTTTTAAGATTTGTATAGTGAAGCAGCAGCAGTTAAACGCATTTGAATAAAGTAACATTATGATTTTCGATTTTCAACTATTAGGGTGCCTCCAAAATAGACTATTTTTTAGAAAAATTAAATTTTCGTTCTTCTGGCAGACTAGGATGCTGGATTATAAAGCAAAGAAAGCTACAGCAACTGTTCACGAAAAATTGCGCTTTTGAGAAGTACACATATTTCCTTTTATGTTGTGATTGTTGTGAGTCATTGATACAGCTATAACAATCACTCGGAGTTCACAATTTCACTGCTTGTCTAGACATTTTTATCTATTTTCTGCATAGTTTATTGCGATCAGTACCTTCCATGCATGATAATGTTTGATTATACTTTTACAGCCTATAGTGGTTTTTATAACTCTTTCTCTAACAAATTATTAGCACAAAAGACTTACAAAAAAAAATTTTTATCTCTGCTCGTCACTGCTACACCCATGATCTCACCACACTTGATTTGGTTTTGTACAATCAGTTGATTTGGCAGTCGTCACTAATCTTCTAGACCATATGTGATAAATTTCAAAAACCTTGAGGAAGATCTTGTTAATCAAGATAACACATCGAAGCAATACAAGAGTTGACTTGTTTAGAAGGTATCACCAAAGTTACGTTCACGGTTAGGTACTATGGTACCTTTTTAAACTGATTAGGATCGTGGGCTTTCGGCAATTTTCTCTTTCTAACAGCAGGTTCAGATAGCAATGGTTTCCTCTCTGCTAATACTGGTCTTTCGTTTGATACAGTCTCGCTTGTTCCTTGCTCTGCCGCTACAATTTTACTTCTTCCTTCCGCAGCTACTTTTTTGAAATAATTCCTGAATTTGATCCATGTAAGCAAACCGGTTTTTTTTTTTGCGTGAATTATATTCCCAGTATCGTACGTTGTTATTTTTGCCTTGCCTATCTCGCTAACCGGTGAACATCAGAAGTAGAAGGCATGAAAATGAAGAATATTTTGCTGGTGTTCTCAATGGCTTTAAGCGATACTTGGTGACCCCTCCCATTTGGAATGCTATGTACACCATAAGGTGCATCTCGAAACGCTGATTCTAAATCTGTGCTCGAAATCTGCGAAACGATTACTTGAAGGCAGTTATGAACTTTTTTCGTAGAAAATATGCGTACTTTTAGGTAGTTGAAATCACCCAATTTGATCTAGTTTATCATTTCAAGCTATTGAGGAAAAACTTGAAAGGTGTGAAGTTGTGTTTATACCTATCTAAATCATATTCACCATTTGAGGAGGTAAGAAAAATTCTTATTAGTGATTTTTGCCCTCCGCAGTGGCGCAATTTATTCTTGAAAATGTAATTATAACTCCATCCAGGTTCTCGTTTCGCAGTTATAAAAAGCGAACCAGCACCAAAATGCGCATTTTTTGATATATGAACCGTTATGAATAGCCGGAGTCACCAAGTATCCTTCCCTGCTTAGGAGGGAAGCTACCCAGCTTACGTTAGCTCGGCCTTTTGGCAAGGAACATAATCTAAATGAACTTCAAACGCTAATATCAAATATACTATTCCTAGTTGCTGCGAGCCATTCCAAATCGAGTTATGGGCTTTTCACTGCGCAAAATCGGCATACTATTGAACTTAAGAAATGTGCCTGTAGGTGAAAATCTGCAGGCGAAAAGTTGCTGAGATATCAAGAGAACATCAAGTTCACTCTTTTTTCACTGAAAAAAAAGCTTAACACATATATATTAGGACTTAGATGATGATGCCATGATGCAGTAAGTCAAAGAGTATGCAAATTTTGTGCAGAAAAAAGTCAATAACTCGCTCCAGACTGATGCGCTGCAGCTAGAAAATGCATATTTGGAATCAGCGTTTGAAGTTGATTTAGAACATAAAAGTCCCTTTCCAAAAGGCCGAGCAAAGTTAGGTAGCATCCTTGTTAGTGCAATTTTTTTCCAGGAAGCTTTCGAACATTGGAGAATACAAATTTGCTCACATGAATCCTTCTATTGCGAAAAGTTAAAAAAAAAACTTACACAAACTCTGCGACATTCATGACCGTTTCTGAGGGAGGTGCATTGATGTGCTTGAGAGTGGCAACCATAATATCTTCAAAAGTATTTCAAGTAGAAATCAAAGTATTGAAGCTGTCAGATACCGTAAATTTGGTCGCAGTTCACATAGTGACATTTGGAAGCATGTTTAGAAGTGGACAAGTATTCCCAGTTGTTGCGAGAATACCCCTAAAAAGGTAAAGCTTTACATATATGCGCAAAGAAAAGCGTAACTCGCCTTGATAAGGACCATAGTCATAAAGTTTATTGAAGCTTCCTCCTTATTTTTGGGCCCCATCTGTGCCAATATGTTGTAAGTCTTACGGAGATTCACCGTTCTTCCATTTTCTCCTTGGTAAATTTCATCTGGTTCATCTTCTCTATCAACCTTCAATAAGTCTGAGCCAAACCACTTTCCTTGCTTACGATTTCGGTGTCGTATTTTGACCTTTTCAACCTGTAAAATACAGATAAAGCAAGTTATTTAAGGATCGCTTTTTTGGCAGCAGCCTCATCTTAAAGGCAGCCGGGCAAAAAGTCGATTTTGAGATCTTGCGCTAACCTGGCCTATTCGCTGTGCCGAATCCGAAAACCCACTCTAAAGAACGCGAAAATGGCGAAAAAGGGCTATAACGCAGTAGGGAAATCAGAAGTGGACGAGGTCTTCCCCCGCGAATTCACCATCCCAGCCCCCGGAGCGACTTGTCCGGTTCCGGTTTCAAGTCGCATTCGTACTTGGCTATCGGAGATGTTAGGGCGGCTAGCGGAATTGAGAAGATAACTCCGGAAGCCAGGACCGCAAATTCACAGTGGGGAGGACCCCGCCACTCCCAATTCCCTTCCTGCGTTAGAGCCCTTTTTCGCCGTTTTCGCGCTTTCCAGTGTGGATTTTCGGATCCAGTATAGCGAATAGGTGAGCACAGCCCAGGTAAGCACAAAATCCCAAGATCGACTTTTTGTCCGGACTTTTTGCCTTCAAAGGCGCTGCTCTGCTCACCTCGAAATCCATAATCCTAGCGACGACGCGAATCAAACGATATGCGTTCTCTAGTTCTTCAAGGGTTTCTTCCTGCTTGTTAAGTTGCTCTAATGTTTTTTTCAAAGAAGGAATACTGATTTGTTCGTTGCGTATTTTTAAGATATGCTTAGCCACATCAATATCGTCTTTCTTGAAGCCTTTTTCGACGCACTAAAAAAATTTTACTTAGAAGATTTGCAAATGAAAATCAGGACTTACTCTGAAGATCTGACGAAAATATGCTTCCTTGAGTTGTGATGGCTCCGGATTTGTAGTTCTACGCAAATTCATAATCAAAGATTTGCTTTAGCACTCAAGGAATTCGGAGGTGTCTTCTTGTGCGAAGCACTGGCAAGAGGTAGAAGGCATTGTGGCACTATCTCTCAATTTTATACGACCCTCTCAAGATCAAGGATCATCAAAAAGATTAGACAAACAGCGTGAAACGCGCCTTATCGGGAAAAACTGCAACACATACACTTGAGATTAGCACCAGGATGTTTCATAGCAAAGTTCAGATAAGAAATAAGCATTAAATGACCAAGCGACAAAATGTGAAATATGTTTTAGTTACTCATAAGCATCTCTGGAACACTGCGTCGAAAGAACAAAAATTGAAAATGCTGAAAAAACACTAATCTGGAGTTCAAGGAGGAGTACTGATTATTGTCAGTTCTTGTGTTCTATTACGGCTTCGGTCTGAGCATATAATGGGGAACTTATGATTGTTTTGTTCACTGAACAACACGCTATGACTTTAAATTACTGGCTAAAAAAATGAATCTGTCTTCAATACCTCTTGTTATGTGCGAAAAACACGGTTATCCCTAGTTTATCAAAGATAATTTTCTTACGCAAATATTCTCATTAGTATGCGTGTACAGATCAGGAAACTTATTCTTCAAAAAAAAATCTGATGCCACAACATTACTTTGGAATTGAGAAGATTTTTGCTGGTAAAAAGCGAGGATTAGGCTATGGTCCAACCAAATCATAATGTACACCACTGCGTGCTTGCTTCGAGTTTTTACTATATAGAACAGATTGAAAAACGTGTCTGATTTTATGATCGAGTGCTTCCGATTTATTCAACACATCGGATCTAGCTTGTTCACTTCTCTGAGAACCTACGAATCACAATTTGCTATATAACAATAGTAATGAATGTAATAAAAGGTACAGCATGTAAGCATTGTCTCATGTTGAATAAGTGACTATAGAACAGTATTTTGACGCCCCTGTAGCTGATACAATCTTACGAATGCTATTCTAAGAATCTATAAATAGCTTCGTTTTCACTTATGGATGATTTGAAATGACGGTAAAGTTCACTAAAATATCCTCTCATTTTAACAGAATATTGGAAGTTTCATTTTAGTGAAGTAATGGGAATTTTCTCTGCTGAATCACGTTGCATTATTCCTCATGTGATGATGTGCAGTCAAAAATACATCTTACGTAGTTAGTGTGTTCTCGAGTAGGTGCAGGTGTCAGAGCAGACAATTTACAATTGGAATTTGAATCTAGTATAACTTGGTAGTCAGAAGGAGGCAATATAGTGTGTGCTCAAGCACAATGAAGCGAACTAGTAACGGACAAAACATCTGGAAAAATTCAAAGCTGCGCAAGAAAAAAGTAAGTTAGAATAAGAATGTTATAACAACATTAAATGATAAATAGCTATTCTGGTAATGGTTTGAAGATAGGATAAAAAATCGTGCCAAAAGGAGAAACGCTTGTTTTGCTTTTATTAAGGTAAACTAGTATATGATATGATGTCTGCGGATTAATTGTAATCTCATTTTGTAAATAAAATAGTAGGTTATTCCGAAACTTTGTTTGTTGCTTTCTCGCATCATCTTGTTATCTCGATAAGCTTTTAATTGCGGGACAAACCAAATCTGGTTCGTAATGTCACCTTGCAATGGCCCCCTCTTAACGCTGGCAGCAGAGAAAAAAACAACTGATGAAAATTCATTCGACTTTTGATATTACTTCTATTATTCACCTACATCATTTTCAGTTGGAGCATAGCCCTTCAGGTCAAAGACCTGGGCTTCCAGAGGTGCAGAATTTTACATTGAGTTTCTTCTCTAAACGAGAAACAGCAGATTTGCCAACCTCTTGCCAAATCCGAATCTTTGCAAGTGGTTTTGTCTTTACATAATGTCACATTACGAATTGGGTTATATTTTGCTGAAAATGTATTTTCTACGTAAAAATAAAGTTCTTGAAATCTGCCATAAAATTTTTGGATAATCATAGCTACAAATGTGGAATGCTTTCACAATGCCATGAAATCTTCAATTTAGGAACAGATTTCCCCAATCTTTAAGAGAAAACGTGCAGAACGATGCAGCAAATGCATTTTCGTAGCTGAGCTGCTTAATTTATCAGTTTTCGGAATTTGTTTCAGTTTTGCTTCTGTGCGAGATCAGAGCTGCTGTGAACAATCCATCATAGCAAGTTTTTTGTGAATCGATAGAAATGTTTCAAAAATTCTAGGGATGGCAAGCTAAAACACTAAAAGATTATTCTTTATTTGCAATAGAGCGATCAACCAGAATGTTTACAATAGCTTTACTGACTAATGCTTCGGAAAAGTTTATTTTTATCGGTACTTATGCGTCAAAATCGGAATGCCAGCTCCTCTTATCGTGAGAAAAAAAAACGAAACATCGCCAGGGCTATATTAAAATTTTGGTCAATCGCTCAAATCATAATTCTAATGTAATTGTATGCCAAAATTCAAGGATAGCCAAACATGGAAATTTCGAAACCGTTTTTACTTTAACGTACACTTTTGTGTTTGGAAATCTTCTGAAATATAAAGTTGGATCACTTTCGAGTGTTATTACTCGAATTCTGTAAATGTAACCTGTTAATTTCAGAAGATTTCTCCTTTCGCAAAAGTGTTTTTTAAAGTGCCAAAATTAGGCCTAAAGGGGATGCGCACTCATTATTGCCTAGCATATATTGCGTCGGGACCCAACCTGTCAGCCGCTCAGTTGGTGTTCAAATCGAGGCTTAGAGATTTTGACCTAACAAACATTAGGCCGTACGAGACATGCTTCTTGATGACGACCAGTCCTGTTAGTGGGAGTCCCAGGATTTCCGTCAGAGACGTCCCGAAAAAAAGAATTTTCACGACTAATTTGATCTTTTAAAAACTTTTAAAAGTCATTTCAAGTACCTAAGAGTATGAACAAGTTGCTTGCACGTTTTTGCAACTCAGGTGAGTAAATTTTAGAAATTTCGCGACTTTAACCCCACCCCCCCCCCCCCTTCATCTGGATTCTGTTTCCATCTGTTTCTCCTATCTACCCTTTCCCTAAAGATCTGTTATATCATAATGACAACATCTTTCATTTTCCATCAAGAACACAGTTTGTTGGAAGAACGTTTTATACAAGACTGCATAACGAGCTTGCTTCAACAATTCAATATGCTTATTCCGTGTAAAGCCTTTCTTTCAGTTACTCGTATGATATCATTCTGACAATAACCTATGTTTCAAGCTTTTACTGAAGCGGTGACTGCAAATAGTATTTGTTATACTCCAAATATGAGTGCACATTCAAGGATAAGCTTTCCTTATCTTCGTAAAACCCTATACGCAGATCATTCCAAAGCAATAAACATATCCATACAAATATTATGAAATACAGCCTTATAAAACGAGAAGCAATTTCAAGGAAGTGTTTACAGCCAGTAATGATTGAATCCTGATAAATATGCAGAGGGTCAAAGTGGTATGGACTTTACTAACAGAGGAAACGAGAAAAGGGTATCAAACCATGCTTAAACAATTTCTTCTGCATTCTGTTTCGTAATGAAGAGTTGTATCTCAGAAGAAAAGGAACAACAAAGAAGTCTTTTTCTGCGTGGTTTGCTTTTTGTAAATGACAAATGCCAGATAAGTTCCGTTTTTTCGAAAAGCATCAGATAACTTCTTTATGCCTGGAAAATGACTGCATACCGTTGACCGTAGCGGTCAGTTTGGCATTGATTGTGAAATCCTCGCTATGATATGCATACAAGTGAAAATGGCTAAGTATCAGGTTGCCAAGAAAATAATGCTGAACTTTATCAGCTATGACACTGCAACCGATATTGTTGTTTCTCCGCCAGGGCTGTTCCACGTGAAGTTAAAAGCAAAATTTAAAAAGTTCTGCCAAAAAAATGGAAGAATTGGATCTATCTTCGAATATCTCCAACGGACCTCACTCGCACAGATCTACGCTATTGACATCAAAGTAAACATACGCTTGCGGCATTTCTTCTTTGACTAAAACTGAAAGACCGAAACATTTCATGTTCTGCTCCAAGCAACTAGGCCATTCCTACAAGTACATAATTCTAAACAAAAGCCTTTATAATATTAGTCGTGAATTGTTAGCCTTTTTCGAGCTCGGTGTTCTTAAGATTTCGATCCCAGCAGAAAAACCCAGAAGAAGAAGGATGAATAATTATTATTATGATATCTCAAGTATGATATTATTCGAAAATCAGCGCTTAGATAAGGCTAAAATTCACAGTCATATTTACAAAGGCATGTAGTACAAGAGTATGTCGAAACGGCCCAGCAGTGCTTCATGAAGAACTTCAAAAAATTTCAATTTCTCAGTTTCTACTCAAGAAAAAAATAAACCAAGTGTATGTCTGAATGTCTGACTTCGATAGTATAGATGTGTGGAGTGGGAGGTCCGTAGAAACTACTGGACGGAGATCCGATTTTCTAGGCATTTAAAATGCCTAGAACCGTCTGCACCCCAGAGAGGTTCCCATGTGAACCAGCGCGCGTACGTGGTGCGACGCTGCCTTTCGCTCTTTTTGACACGTTTTTCCTGAGATTTCAACGGAAGTGCCTGAGGTTAACATGTTCAAAAGTGCGAAAAGCGGCGCGATGACGTAGTACCTATGGGGACCTCTCTGGGGCGCAGACGATAAGTATCTAACAGTGGCGGACCGAAAGGGAGGCTCCCCCTCTCCCCGGGATGGGTCGCGAAATTTTTGAAATTTACTTACTGGTTATAAAAATGTGCAAATGACTTGTTCGTTCGTGTAAATAATAAAATTATCTTTTAAAATTTCTTAAGATTCAAATTAGCCTTGTAAAAAAATATTTGGGGGCGTAGCGGCTGACACGCCCCCTTTTCCTATAATTTAGGGGTATGGGCTAGCAAAAAATGTTAAGAAGCACCCCGAAAAATTGTCGTCATGCACCTTCACTTGAAAAAATTTTGTCCCCCTTCCCTCTTCCGGACGGAAAATCCTGCGACCGTCACTGG